ATGTGAAAAATAATATTAACTTAACGTTTAACGTATCCATATCTGGTTTTAAATTGTATTCTAAGCAAAATTATTTGGTACTGATCTCTTTTTATTTTTGGTAATCCAAATCTTTTTGTTTTTGAAAAATACATCAAATGGAATCATCTAAAAGAATAATAATAATAACCTACATTTAATGTGTCCGGACATAGTTTCAAATTGTATTCATAACATAATATTTTGATAACTAAATTTCTTTTATTTTTGATAACTAATCTTTTTTTTTGAAAAATATATCAAATGAAATCATATGAGAAAAATATTAACCTACATTTAATGTATCTAGATTTGGTTCGAATTGTATTCATAATATAATATTTGGTGAATAATCTCTTTTACTTTTGAAAAATATCTCAAATGGAATCATGAAAAATAATATTAATCCATGTTTAATGTATATGGACTTGGTTCCAATTGTATACATATGTAGTATAATTATTTGCTAACTAATCTCTTTTTATTTTTTGTAACCAAACTCTTTTTATTTTTGAAAAATATATCAGATGGAATTATTTGAAAAATAATATTAGTATATTTTTAATGTATCAAGACTTGATTTTGAATTGTATTCGTAATATAATGATTTGGTAACTAATCTCTATATTTTTGGTGGCTAATTTTTTTTTTTTTTGGAAAATATATCAAATAGAATCATCTAAAATAATACTAACATACATTTAATGTATCTAGATTTAGTCATGAATTGTATTAATAATATAATGATTCGGTAACTAATCTCTTTATTTTTGTAATTAATTAATTTTTTTTGGAAATGTATCAAATAAAATCATTTGAGAAATTATATTAATCTACATTTAATGTATCCACACTTGGTATTAAATTGTATTCATAATACAATTATTTGGTAACTAATTTGCTTTTATTTTTTTAAATTAATCTCTTTTTATTTTTGAAAAAATATATTAAATGGAATCATCTGTAAAATAATATTAACTTATATTGCATGTATACAGACTTGGTTACAAATTGTATTTGTAGTATAACTATTTAGTAATCTATTTTTATTTTTGAAAAATATATCAAATGGAATAATCTAAAAATTAATATGAACATACGTTTAATTTATCCAGATTTAGTTTCGAATTGTATTCGTAGTATAATTATTTGATAACTAATATATTTTTTGTTTTTAGTAACTAATATAACTTTATTTTTGAAAAAGATATAAAATATAATCATTAGAAAAATATTATTAACCTATGTTTAATGTAATCAAACTTAGTTTTGAATTGTATTCGTTTAATTATTTAGTAAATAATCTCTTTGTTTTGGTAAATAGTCTCTTTTATCTATGGAAAATATACCAATCATCTAAAAAAATAATATTAACATAAGTTTAATGTAGGCAGACTTGGTTTCAAATTTTACTCGTAATATAGTTATTGGTAACAATTTTTTTTTTGGTAACTAATATCTTTTAATTTTTTGGAAAATATATCACACAAAATCTTCTAAAAAATAATATTAACTTACGTTTAATGTATCTAGACTTAGTTTCAGACTATATTTTTAAAAACATTATGCCATATATTTGTCAATAATTACAAAACACGTGATATTTATTTTTTTGAAATTAACTTTTGGCTAATTATTTAATTCAATTTAACAATTTTACGTATTAGTAATAAACTTTTAACTGTTTAATGAATGAGAATTTTGCGATGACACGTGGCACAATTGGCTAAACTTGCTCCTTGGGCAATACGTGTCGATTAAGAACTCTGGTTTAATATATATAATAATAGATTAGTTCATAACTTAATTTATTAAGATTTGTTAGTATTGATTATCAAGCCCACTTAGTTTTATTAAATAATTAAATAAATTAAGTAACTATATTAAGGGATTATCAAACTGTATTAAGTGATCAAACAGAAGTTTCACACAATAATATCTAAGATTCCCCGTGCGTGTAGTACGAGCTATTAAGATTCATCCCATCATTTGGAGTGGGAAAGTTCTTTTCTAAATCCTAAGTCAAACTAGGATAAAGGGTGTTGATGACTCTACCTGTTGGTAAGAAATTTGGCTTCACAATTTTATCAAATTTCATGTGACATTTTGCCGGGAAAAAAAAAATAGTAAATTGACCCCTTCAACCAATTAGCACCCATCATCAACAAAGGCAAAGTCAAGTCTTCTAAAGCCCTAAAACACCCAATAAAAACGAAACAAACATAGTCAAATCTTCTCTGCTGGTTAGTTAAGCATGTCTACGTTGGGTGACTTAGGAATAACTATCATTACATAGGAATAAGTTAATCATGAAATTGCTTAAAAACTAAAGGCTCTTTCTTGTAGAAGTTTAAAGTTTGCATAGGAATAACTGGAATCACGAAACAAATAACTTACAAATCTCTTTTATATTGAAGAGAGTTGTTGGAACGACATGTGTCAATTCATCAATGGTCATTGGTCATTGTTAAAATGTAAAAATTAATTTAGTTAAATTGTTAAAACTAATTTTATCACTATTAATTTTAACACTAGTGTGTGTTCATGAATCTTATACGGTACGTTCCAGCCAATAATAATAATTACGAGATAATAACATTAAACATGACAATAGTCATAACTGAAAATGATCTAGTTATTAATTCTCAATTCAAAATTCTAATTAATACCCTTTTCCACTCACACTTTAAGAAACTCCTTTTTGGTAAAATTATAATATTTGAAATTTTGAACTATTTAAAACTCAGCACAACATGCAGAGTGAAACTAGCTTGTTACATCTCAAACGGTGCTAAAATCCTTAATTGAATGTTAATAATGGATAAATTGGATCTGACTTTTTTCTTTTCTTTTCTTTTCTTTTTTTTTTTGGATATATCTGCTATATACTTTTCGGTATACATTGATACGAGTTGTAAACACTTTTCTATATAGGTTGATACGGGTTCTTATAACGACAATAATATTATATTTTAACAAAATTTAAATGGGCATTAACTAATAAGTTATGTCTCACAAAAAATTGCATATTGTATTAATTATTAAATTATTTTTATTGGACAGAGGAGGTAAGAAATATTATATATACACTATAGAGACACAACAGGGGAAAAAAAAAAGGTGGAATCTCACCGCTATTATCTTTCTTCTTTTTAAAGATTTTTGGGTGCGTGTGTATTAGCTAGGTTGGATATATCAAAATCGAGTCAACCTATTATCATGGATTTTCTGATGCTTATTTAAACATAATATTGTTTTAAGAAAATATTAAAGTCGGTATATAAATTGATTGATAAGAAATCGGTCACGGATGGCTATGTATTCTTCTTCTTCACCAGTTTGATAACGTATGAATTGGAATCAGAAAAATGCTATGGATAGCAGCAGCCATTCTATACATACATATATATATATATTTATATATATAAAAATCATTCATCCATCTCAGTGGAAAAATGGTGACTTAGTTTAGTAATTGACCATTTCAAAAGAAGCCAAAACAAATTCTCCTCTTCAGTAGTGGAGGTCTTCTGGAGCCTTTTGACAGTTTCTCCAACACAGTCACAGGGAATCAATGGGGTTTTGAGTTTGCATTTATGATTTGTCTTGTTTTGACTGCTTTTTAATTTACTTTTTCAGAAAAAAAAAAAATCTAATGTATTTAGAACAATACGTGAAATTTCACTAAGACGAGGGCGCAGAATTTACAAAAACAAGTAATGTGTAATGTCCTACTACCTCCATCCCAAAAAAATAGTTCACGTTGAGTTTTCAAATTTGTATTAAAAATAGTACAAAACTCAAAACTCAATATGGACTATTTTTGTGGGACGGAGAGAGTACCAATTAAAACAAAAGGGAGTTGAATTATATTTTTGTACTAAAAAATTATTATGTGTGTACTCTGTAATGATTAAAAAAAATAGAGGGAACACTTAGCTCCGTCACTGTTACGGGTACAATCTAAACACAATGATCAACACTGTGATATACTTAGAAATAAAATATGAATGTTTATCGAAATCTCGCTTGCATTTAGCGACTCAAGTTATTCAACGTATTAAACCTATTCATTCACCTTCGATTAGAAGTATAAACCTCATGATAATCGAGTTTTGACTAAAGATAAATGCGAAATCCGACGTGCTGTTATCTTCACTTTTACAGAGAAACAACCATCTCAGTTTAGTGTACATTTGCATTATTTTACAGTTTTGAAATGTACTAAAGTTTACAAGACTTTCAGGTAAACGAAAAGTTACAAATACTCATAATAAAAAAGGTCAAAGCACTTGTATAAACAAGGCTCACAAAAGTAAAGAAGTTTCTAACAAACAAAGACTTTGTAAGTTGTAACCTTTATATTTTTATAAAAAAAAAAAAGGAAGAAGAAGAAGAATAAGAAGACTCTGTAACCTTAGCAAGCCTCTTTCAATGATATGTAAATCATATTTTGGGAATGTTCAAAACCAATCCTCCAATTTCAATTATCATTTCAATCACAGGCAAAATCCCGTGTAATTACCAAATCTTTCTTGATTGAAACGATTATTAAAGTTTTAGCAATTAGTGTAATTTTCTACAACTGATAATAAAAGACGGTCTGTCAAAATTAAGGGAGCCTTTGGATAGTTATTAGAAACATCATGACCAAGTTTAATCATGTTATTAAGACTAAAGAATAGGAGTATAATTTAAGAAACAATCCTAAGATAAAATACACGTTAAAAAAAAAGTACACATTTTGTTACTCAATGGAACAAAGAAAACCATACTTTATGTTGGTCCATAGTCAAAAAAAAAATAAAAAATCCCAGAGATGTCGCATAATCAATTAAGTGTAGCTAAGCAAAGTGGGCTAGAAAGTCAAACATATTACTTGGTCTTTGGCTGTTTGCCACTCAGACAATGATGAACAATTCGGTTTGTTGATGTTTTTATAAATAGCCATACCTCCCACGTTGTTCTGCACCAATTAAACATTTGATTTCATCAATCCTTCAGTAGCTTCAAGTACTTAGGATTCTTCTTCCACTCCTCAAACAACATGGTATGTTTTCTCAGTGTTCAAAATGTTCTCTTTTCTTGCAATAATGAAGACTAATATGACATGTTTCTTAATTGTCGCAGGATGTAGAGAATGTTATTCAGTCATCATCAACAAGCAAAAAAGGTGGATTCAGGGCTTGTACATTTGTGTTAGGTGAGACTTTCGAAATTACATGGCGTTATGATACATGAAGAAAGACACGAAAATTTGTTTAATCTTTGTTCATGTGTGTTTTTGTGCAGCTTTGACAGCTCTGGAGAACATTGGTTTTGTGGCGAATTTATCATCACTAGTTTTGTACTTCCATTTTGTGATGCAATTTGACCTCTCTGCATCTGCAAACACACTCACAAATTTCCTTGGATCAACTTTCTTGTTGACGATTTTCGGTGGTTTGATATCGGATTCTTTCTTGAATAGGCTCTACATCTGCTTAATGTTTGGATTCTTGGAAGTAATGGTAAGGCCACTATATCTATATTACTATGTAGCCATTCTGGTTTCTAATATTCTTCCAACTCTCGTTTCAGGAAACTGATTATGTTCTGTTTTCATGTTTTTCTAGGGGTTGCTTTTGCTCTTCATACAAGCCTATTCAAAGAAGTTACATCCTGATCCCTGCAGCAAATCAAGCTGCTTGAAAGGAGGTGATGCTGTCATGTTTTACTGTACCTTAATCCTTCTCGCATTAGGTGCTGGTGGTGTTAAGGGATCCACGGCGGCTCTTGGCGCCGATCAGTTCGACCAAAAAGACGAAAAAGAGGCCAAGGCATTAGCTAGCTATTTCAACTCATATCAGTTCAGTATTACTGTGGGATCAGTAATAGGAGTTACAATTGTTATCTGGGTAGCTATGAACAAAGACTGGTACTGGGGATATTTGATAAGTTTGATCACGGCTTTCATCGGGTTCGTGATTCTCGCGATCGGGAAGCCTTTCTACCGTTTGCAACCCCCAGGCACCAGCCCCATTATTAAGATTGCTCAGGTTCTTACTATGAGCTGACTCAGTTACTTTGAACATTTAGAAAAAATGGATCTCAATTTTCTTACAGAATTTGATCTGTTTTTCCAGGTTGTAGTCGCTGCAATCCGAAACAGGCATGTGCCGGTTCCACAAAATGCTGATGAACTATATGAGACAGAAGATAAAGAAGCCATTGCACACACAAGCCAATTCAGGTTAGCCTTAACAAATAGTACTGATAGAGTGAAACGGCTCGTGAAATGATGCGACGCGCCTCATTTATTATGTTTCATCCTATAAGAAAATGTTGTCTGCGAGTTTGTCTGAATACACGGAATTCACTGTCTCTATCATTATCATCTGACATGTTGCCATAATTTTCGACAGGTTGCTCGACAAAGCTGCCAGTGTTCGACGAGGTGTGGATCCTCTGCCCTGGAGAATATGCACGGTTACACAAGTAGAAGAAGTAAAGATTTTGATAAGGATGCTTCCAATCATATTCAGCACAATTATAATGAACACATGTATGGCACAGATGCAAACATACTCAGTTCTTCAGGGATATTTCATGAACACACACATAGGATCTTTCAAGGTTCCTTCAGCTTCAATCCCTGTAATTCCCCTGCTTTTCATGGCAATCCTTCTACCTATCTATGAGTTCTTCTTCGTCCCACTTGCGCGAAAAGTCACCGGCCTTCCATCGGGTATCACGCAGCTTCAGCGTGTCGGTATAGGCCTTGTACTCTCCTTCATCTCAATGAGCATAGCAGGAGCGGTGGAAGTGAAAAGAAGGCATCAATCACTGAAAAATCCATTCAAGCCAATCAGCCTCTTTTGGCTCTCGTTCCAATACGGCATCTTTGGGGTCGCGGACATGTTCACCGTGATTGGACTAATGGAATTCTTTTACAGGGAAGCTCCCAAATGGATGAGATCTCTCTCGACTTCCTTCGCGCTCCTATCGCTATCCTTCGGGTACTTCTTGAGCACCATCTTTGTCAATGTTGTCAACTCTGTCACCAAGAAAGTTACACCAAGCAAACGAGGATGGTTGGAGGCACCAGACTTGAACCATAATAGGCTGGAACTTTTCTACTGGTTTTTAGCCATTTTGAGTTTTCTCAACTTCCTTAACTACCTCTTCTGGGCATCATGGTACAAGTACAAAACTGATGCAAGTGATGCTGCTGCAACAGCACAGGCCAAATCTGCAGGAATCCGATCGGCCGTTTTGCCTGCTGATGAAGATTGAGCTATGTTCAATACATTAGTTCTTGATTGTCTCAGTTTCTTTTGTTTAAGTTTCAAATGATTGTTTTTAGGAGACAGTCAGGTTCGTTGAGCAAGAATTCTTTGGGCTATGCAATAAAGTAAATGTACTTGTATTGTTGTTCATATCTTTTTTCTGTTGCACAGAAGATGTAGTTATGTGGAAGTGTAATGTAAACAACCATTAGATCTATTCAAAAAGGTTTAGGCTTCTGGTTAATCAATTTGGAGCCTATTACCTACATTTTATTCAATTTGGTTCAATTTTCCTAAAATCTCTATCTTTGATTTGTTAGTTTTATGTTTCTTTTCAAGAAGACATTCTTAAGTTCCTAATACACCAGTTTACTTTCTCAAAAACAAAAGATAAAACACCGATAAGTGTCTAGAATAGTATTTTTTATTGTTATTATTACTCTCTCCGTCCCATGATTATTGTCCACTTTGCCCAAAAAATTTTGTCCCAAAATTATTATCCAATTTGACTTTTTATGGATCAAGTTACACATTTGTCCTTAGTAAAAAACATTATCCATAAAATTTTAGTGGTTAAACAATTACTTATGTAGGGGAATATCCGGTTGTTTAAGGTAAAATATAGTTAAGTTTGACAAAAAATAAAATCTTTCATTTTAGTAAAACTGGACAATAATTATGGGACGGAGGGAGTACTTTTTAATACAAAAAGAAAGAGGACAAAATTCAAACTATAGAATATCAGAGTTTGACTCTTGCAAATTGCAACTACTTTATCCATTATAAAATTTGATAGTCAATGTCACTTGGGTGGGTGCCATAGACAACCCTAAATATCTCATATATAGGGAGCTCCCCTAATTTAAATGTTTTAATCACCCCTTGTAATTTATTTTCCATTCTTTCTGATCTCTCCACAGTACATGTGGGATTTAGACTAATACGCAACTCCGTCGTTTCAGCAAATTCATGCAAGAATTTACCAACAGAAGCTGTAGTTTCTTTTGCTTTTATTCATTTCCATCTATTTTACCCTTTTGGGAACAGTACAGAGGAGTTTCATGTGCTTTTTAGAATTGGGGGTTTTCGAAACTAAATATATTATTCTTTTTCACCACAAATATAACCCATCTCTATTTTTTTTAGGGAACAAAAACGACGGGTTATTAGAATCTTGCTTGAATTTAGCAAATTACGGTATGTTAAGGTATGGGAAAAACAAATGGATCTATTTCAATAGTAATAAATTCTTAGCAGTGAAATTTGAAGTTAATTAAAATGAAACTATTATTTTCAATCCTCAAATTTTAGATTAAACCATTTAAATCAAAGAGGAAATTCGACCGAGCAAGAGATTTCAAAATCAATGTCTTCATTTTTTATCCATTGGTATTTTTGCATCTCAAGAGTTATGACTAAATTGCAGTTCTTGGATTAAAAGAATTATTGAAGTTGCAGGAGTCGTTGAAATTTGTTCAACACGAAAATATAAGAAAGATTGGCGCACCAAATTTAGGGGACATTTGGTCATTTTGGAAATTAGTAGCAATTTTTCCACTGGAAAGTACCGAAATCCATAGGAAATCATACATATATATATACTAGGGGGTGGGAGACCGCACGTCGTGCGGTCATTGTACAGTAGAAACCCGTCATGATTTTGTTGTAAGAAAAATATAATTTGAAATCAAAAAATTTTATTTATATAACAGTCCAAATATTTGTACAATAATTTACATAATTATACACATAAGCTAAGTGATTAAATTTGTAGTTCAGCTTCGATTGTACTGGTGCGCTCAAGTAAAAGAAAAAGACTCCACTCCATGTTAAGTGCTGCTTTGAGAATATATTTCCGTACAGGATGAGATAGAAGTCTTTTCAATAGTTCATCTACTTCTCTTTCGAACATCAAATTATAAGTACACTGGCCACAGTGAATACAAGTACAAGGATTAGAATTATCCATTTATTTTCTGTTAATATTGAAAGATTAAAGAAGGATTTAGATTTTTGGACTGTAAGGAAGAAATCAGCAAATTTTTAAAGAAATGTTTTGAAAGCGAAAGACGAAGTAAGTAAAGAGAGGAAAGAAATAGGAGAGTTTGAAAGATAAGTTTTTGAAGTGAATAAAGACTTCAAAAGTAACCTATAATTTATAGGGGAGAGGGAAAGATGTCGGGAAGAAAGATGTGGAAAAAAAAAAACAATTTATGCGGTGGGATAGAAAATATTTGTTGGCAAGTAAAGGTAGAAAAATGCCAAAGAATTTGTTGGTGAATGGAGATTATGTCACGTAATTGAGAGGAGGAATGAATAGGTAGACAAATGTCTTATTCATTATATAGGAATGTTGTATTGAAAGCTGTTTTACATGCAGAGTGACATTTGTATGTTCTTGGTTGGCATATGTTGTTTAGCATTTTCTTGTGTTAACCTAAAACTCTGGCCAGGATGCAAACAACATATGTTTCCATTTTATGAATGCATCAATTACATGTCTTTCCTTAATTGGTGACCAGTTACTGCTGCAGCCAAGTGTATGCAAAAAAGAAGATTAAAGATATTTTGGTGAAATGATGAAGTCTATTCAAGATTAACTAAGAATCTTCTCAAAATATAAAAATCTTTGACATCATGCTTTTTGGAACTCTGGCAACAACGTACATTCTTTTGTATATACCATCAAACTCATGAGCTATAACATTCAACTTACATAGACAAATCTAGAGAGAAATGCAGTAAACTAAAGTGTAAATTTCACAATATTATCCACAAGATTGAACATTACGAAACTTATTTTGTAAATGCAGAGAAAGTTTTGATTCTTGAAAACGTTCTTTGATACCATGATATGGACAAAGTTCACCAATCTATCATACTAAAACACCAAGTTCTTTGATATCATGAACAATATTTCCAGACAAACCTATCATTTAACTAAAGCAAATTCACAAACATGATATGGACAAAGTTCACCAATCTATCATACTAAAACACCAAACAATCACCACCCAGCAACAACATAAAAAAGAGATAAACTTCACAAAATTGTCCCATTAAGAAACCACATGCATTTGAACAAACACAAAATCAACAAATTGCAGAGAAAGTTACAAGCATAATATGTACAGGGAAAGTCCAGAGAAGGAGATAAATATCAGAAGAAACTTCAATTTCTAATGACTCGGAATAATTTAATGCCAATCCATAAATGCTGGCATAACGTTGAAGCACAACTCTATTTACAAGCATGACTTTTCTATGCAATGATTTGGAAGATTAAATTTTATTTACAAATACAATTTCAGAGACTTCAATTTGAAGAAGTAACACCCATAAAACTTACTGCTAATGTGGTCCATTATCCAATGACAACCTAACAATCTCTTTTCAACACCATGTAACAACCGGAGACTCAGAAAAAGATTATAAGCACAATCTTTAAACATCACTTAAGGACCATTTTGAAGGTCAGATTTTGATCCAAATTTAAAACCAAAATATACATACATCAATGTCGTTAATCGAAAATGAACCAGATGCCAAAAACTGTAAAATGAATGAACAGAACACAACCTGTTTTGAAATCTGCAGTATTAATCTCACAGCAAAGTTTTGCAAATTCTAAAAGATGCAATAGAATTATACACTATGCAAGAAGGCCAAAACAAAAGAAAGAACGAAGAACAATTGAAGGAGAAAACAGAACCAAAATGAAGATCAAAAAACAAATTCACATTAAGAACTTATGTAGGCGTAAAATGAAACACCTACTATGCAATGAATAGACATCCTGCAATGATTTTCCCAAATTATGTTAAACAGTTGCAGCCCCTTGAAAATCAAACAACTGCAGCAACTGAAATAACAACATAAAAGGTACTACCTCATGAGAAGCATATGTTTTTTCAATCAACATTTCACTTTCTTCAATTTACCAAGTAAAAAGATTAACCAGCTACTTGCAGAGACTGTTTATATGAAGATGGAAGGGATTTTTCCCTATAACAATACACTTAGGACATGTTTTCAATTCCCCCAGCTGATGTGAACATCCATGGTAATCAAGTCCAAGATGATCAAGATGTTCGGGTTCCAAGTACTGTCCAAGCTCAAGGAGTGACTCAAGATCCATTATCCAACATTGGAGGCCCAATATCTCAAGCTAGAAGTAAAAGGATGAAGAGTGCACTTAATAATCTTATATCCAATAGTTTGGCCCAAGAGACTGTCAAGTCTGGAAGTTACAAGCCCAAGATGATTAATGTGTTACGAGGCCCATTTGAGGAAGGAAATTTCGGCCCAGAAACCAAGCAAGGGAGGCCAGCCCTATCTCCTAATTTTTAGGAGTTGGAATCTCTATCTTTTAGGGATGAAATCATTTAAATCGTATCACACTTGTGGAAGGATGAGATTTGGAAGATTCCCTATCTTTTAGAGATAAGATCATTTACATCTTATCCCATGGAAGGATAAGATTCGATATGATTCTCTTTTATCTAATTTAGAGTTTATTCAAAATAAGAAGTCTATTCCTTGGTGTCTACTCTCAACCGTTGGATGGAGATTAGATCAAGATTGGATGGCTATGATTACTCTACAAAGAAGATATTGATAGAGTTGACAACTCAGGAAGACTCTTTTCAAGATAAGGATAAGATTCTTTTGAGAGAATATCTCTTTGTATTTGGAGTTATATTTTCATTAGACTAGTGTGTCTTAAGTCTATAAAGGTGTCTAGATACATTGCTTTAATAGATAAGACACAAGTTGTCAATTACAGGTTAAGTTGATTTCTAGTTCTTTAAAGTAGGAATAGAGTTAGAGATCAAACTCTTCTCCTACTTCATAGGAGAATTTCGGCCCCCTCTACTATAAATAGGGGTGTTTAGCCAGCATTTCATTGGTACCTTTTGATGAATTATTTCAATATGAAACAAGAGGAAACTCTTTGTTCTTTTACTACTCTTTTCGAAGATTAGTGCATTGCACACAAGCTTGTGCTTTGTTGATGCGTGCGAGTAGAATAGGTGTTTTTCTACTTGTGGAGCTTTGTTAGTTGATCATTGGAGCCTTTTCGCTAGCCGTTCTATCCATAAATTGAAGGGATAGGGTTGTTAGAGAGGTGACCGATTGGGTGGCTAACCTTAAACACTTTCTACATCTTCTAAACCTTTCCATCCGTTTTTGGTGCAAATTTTTGTGGTTTGCATCTCTTCTTTTCTTTTAATTTTCGTGAGTATTGGAGTCCATAATATTGGATTTGCAAGTTTTCAAGTCCTGGAAAATTCATAGCTTCCGCGTCGAGGTAAATCTGCCACCTTTGCCTCAAGATTCATATCAATTGGTAATCATAGCTTCGGCTCTTGAGGACTTGCTTTTGTTTTGATCTACTAAAGCTCATCTTTGGTTAGATCTCTAATTGTTCTTGTGAATTTTTGAGTCTTTTATTATAGATCTCACTATTTTGCTTCGATTGTATTCTTGTTTGATTTGATTGAAGTTGTTATAGTTAGATCCACTATTGTTAGTTAAAAAAAAACGTTTCTTCCCCTAAATTATCGGATCTAGGGTATCTTAATCCCTAATCCACTTCTTTTTTATTGAGTCAAAAAAAAATAGCCGTGAAAAAAAAAGTAAAAAAAAAAAAGAAAGACGGCATAGAAGGATATTGGTATTTGAGTTTGATTTGAAGTGCAATTATTATTATTTGCACATATCTTTTTGGAAATACTTGGATCTTTGGTGGCTAGGGTTTCGCAAATATAAATTGGTGTATTGGCCGAAACAAGGGTTTTATCCATAACCCTAAGTCGAAGCTTTATTTTTCAGAATTTGCTCCAAGTTCTATTAGCCTTTTGTGAGATCTAAGTTTTCATAATTGTAACTACTCGATCTATATTCGTGTTCTTCCTTAGATCTTGTTACAATTATTTGCAGAACCTTACTTTTTGATCCTCTTTAATTGTTTCAATAAAGTACTTCTTGTAGCACTAGTCTTCATTGCACAAAGGATTAAAAAACAAAGACAGCGGTAAGAATAGAGTGAATCCATCCCTTACTAAATTCTAAAGCTTCTTGAGAGATCTTGGGGAGTGAATAGAATAGTTGGGAGGGGTAACTAGGAAGTGAGTTCTACGATATTCTTTTTCTTGTTCTTGTGTGTGTTGAGTTGTCTTTCAGGAAACATGGGAGACAAAGTTCTACCTCCTCCTCAACATGGAATGTTGAATGATACTGTGCAAGATTTTAAAGATAAGATTGTAGCATTGACCGATCAATTGCAACTTATGACGATGGCAATGGCACACCAACAACGACGACAAGAAGAGACCACTCGCCAACAAGAAGAAACTGCTCGTCAAATAAAACAACTTGCCCAAGTTAGGGATCCATTGGTAAACCCTGGACCTAACCTTATTGCACGCAGGAACATCCGTGGCGGACGTGGCAATGTTAGGCGTGGTCAAGGTGGTGGACGTGGTAATGAAGGGCAAGATGGTGAGCGAGAAGAAGAAGGTCAAGGATAGCGAGAAGAAATTCCAAGGGAACAAAATGATGATGATGGTGTTGAGCATGAAGAAGAATTTAGGCATGATCGACAAAGGCAGCCTAGATTTGATGATAACATGAACTCTATCAAGCGTAAGATTCCGAATTTCGTGGCAAGCCGATCCCGATGCGTATATTGATTGGGAAGATCATATCAACCGGATCTTTAATCTCAACAATTATTCTGAGGGAAAGAAGCTGAATTTAGCTGTGTCAGAATTTCATGGATATGCTTCTACATGGTGGAATGAGGTACAACATCGGAGAAGAAGAGACGATGATCCCGCAATCACCACTTGGGGAGAGCTCTCACGTGTAATGCGAAAGGCTTTTGTCCCAGCATCCTTTCAAAGGAAGCTTCGAGGTGAGTTGCAAGATCTTAAGCAAGGAAGTAGTTCGGTCATGGAATACTACCAAGACATGAATACTTTGAAGCTTAAATGTCAATTGGAAGAAGATGAGGAACAAAGTATAACAAGGTTTTTACATGGGTTGAACCTTCCCATTCGACATAGAGTGGAGTTACAGTCTTATCATGATCTAGATGATTTGGTGGATAAGGCCGACACTATTGAGAGGCAAATGAAGGAATCTTTGGCCGCAAGCAGAGCAAGGACATCTTCCACTAGTACATCATCCTTTGGTTCAAATCGGTGGGGGAGTACTTCTAAGAAGCAGACAGCCCCAAGTTCTAGTCAACCTAAACAGTGGCTTAAACCGGCCAAGGTTACCAAGCCATTGGAGAAGACACTTAGTGTTAAACCGGGTTCATCTGCCAATGTTCAATGCTTCAAGTGTAAAGGAAGAGGACATTATGCATCTGATTGTCCCAATAAGAAGGTAATGGTACTTCGAGATGATTGGTACTATGAAAGTGAAGAAGAAGATGTGTACGATCAATCTAATATGGTTTTAGCAACAACCGAGCAAGCTACAACTAGTCAAATGTATGATAAGGGAGCTTCTGAGAGTGAAGATGAGGTTGTCTATGAGGAAGACGTATCTCGAGCTATGGTTCTAGCTCATGCTCTTAATATCCAGCCAGCTCAAAACAAGAATCTCGAGCAACGCACTAATATTTTCCATACAAGGTGTAAGGTGAATAATAAGACGTGTCTTGTGATTGTGGATGGAGGAAGTCGCACAAACTGTGTGAGCGTGGAACTTGTCAAGAAATTGAACCTTCCTACATTCAAACATCCTCAACCTTACAAGTTGCAATGGTTAGATGATCGTGGAGAAATTAAGGTACGGTCGCAAGCTCGCTTACTCTTATGTTTTAAAACGTTCCAGGATGAAGTTCTTTGTGATGCGGTTCCAATGCAAGCATGTCATATATTGTTGGGACGTCCATGGGAGTTTGATCGAGGTGCAAACAAAGATGGGAAGACAAATCAGTATTCACTTGTGCATAAGGGTTTGTCTATTGTATTATGTTCGTTATCTCCTACGGATATCATGGAATCTCAGGAAAAAATGCAAAGAGAGAGAGAGAGAAAAGACATGAAAGTGAGCCGAAAGAGTCAAAAGAGAGTTTGGGGAATGGGAGAGAATCAAAAGTGAGTGAGAGTTTGAGAGAAAAGCCAAAAGCTGAGGAGAGAAAAGGCAGCTTTTATGCTTCTATGGGAGACCTTGGGAGGGCTCTAAATACTCGCGCTCCACTTGTTTTAATTGTTTACAAGGATTTATGTTTAACTAACACTAACCCCATTGAAAATATTCCTAGTGTTGTTAAAACTGTTCTGCAGGATTATGAGGATGTTTTTCAAGAAGAATTGCCAAAGGGACTTCCACCTTTGAGGGGAATTGAGCATCAAATTGATTTTATCCCAGGATCAGTAATTCCTAATCGTCCTGCATACAAGGCGAACCCCCGAGGAGACCAAGGAACTGCAACGTCAAGTCGAGGAACTCCTTGACAAAGGTATGGTTCGTGAATCTTTAAGTCCTTGTGTAGTGCCTGTCATTTTAGTTCCTAAGAAAGATCGAACATGGCGTATGTGTGTGGATTGTCGTGCTGTGAATAAAATTACTATTAAATATAGACATCCCATACCTAGGCTAGATGACATGTTAGAAGATTTATGTGGCTCTTGCATATTTTCTAAAATAGATCTTGCTAGTGGCTATCATCAAATTCGCATGAAAGAGGGTGATGAATGGAAAACCGCTTTTAAAACTAAATTTGGTTTATATGAGTGGATGGTTATGCCTTTTGGTTTGACTAACGCTCCTTCTACTTTTATGCGTCTTATGAACCATGTGCTTAGACCTTATATAGGTAAATTTGTTGTGGTTTATTTTGATGATATCTTAGTGTATAGTAGAGATGAAGTTTCGCATGCTAAACATCTTTCGAGTGTGCTCTTTGCTTTACGTGAAAATAAACTTTATGCTAAACTTGCTAAGTGTACTTTCTGTGTATCAGAAGTTATTTTTCTTGGTTTTGTTGTTAGCAAGGATGGTGTTAAAGTTGATGAGGCTAAGGTGAAGGCAATTCGAGAATGGCCTACACCTAAGTCTGTCTCTGACATTCGTTCCTTCCATGGTTTAGCTAGTTTTTATCGAAGGTTTGTAAAGGATTTCTCTACTAAGGCTGCACCCTTAAATCACTTAGTAAAGAAGAATGTTAGGTTTGAATGGGGTGAAGAACAAGAACTTGCATTTAACACTTTAAAGAATGATTTAACTTGTGCTCCCTGTTCTTGCATTACCTAATTTTGATCTTACTTTTGAAATTGAGTGTGATGCATCTGGGGTTGGAATTGGTGTTGTGTTAATGCAAAGTGGTAAGCCTATTGCGTACTTTTCGGAAAAATTAAGTGGTGCAACATTAAATTATCCTACTTACGATAAAGAATTGTATGTTGTAATTAGGGCTTTAGAAAATTGGCAACATTATTTAATGCCAAAAGAGTTTGTTATCCATAGTGATCATGAGTCTTTGAAATATTTGCATGGACAAAACAAACTGAATAAGAGACATGCTAAATGGAGTGCATTTCTTGAATCTTTTCCTTATGTTATTAAGTACAAGAAGGGAAAAGGGAATGTGGTAGCTGATGCATTGTCTCGTAGATCGTATGTACTTTCTGTGCTTGATTCTAAGTTATTAGGGATTGAATACATCAAGGATTTGTATGCTACTGATTCTGATTTTTCATCCATTTATGAAGCATGTGAAAGTGGCGCATTTAACAAGTTTTATAGGTACGAAGGTTTCTTGTTTAAAGATAATAAATTATGTGTGCCTGCTTGTTTTCTGCGTGAACTATTAGTGCGTGAATCTCATAGTGGTGGTCTTATGGGTCATTTTGGTATCTTGAAAACTTATGATGTTTTATGTGAGCATTTTTATTGGCCTAATATGAAACGTGACGTAGAAAAAGTTTGTTCTACTTGTATTGAGTGCAAACAAGCAAAGTCTAAGTCACAACCACATGGGTTATATACGCCTTTACTTGTACCTACCCACCCTTGGATTGATATTTCAATGGATTTTGTTTTGGGATTACCTAAATCTCAAAAAGGGTGTGATTCAATTTTTGTGGTAGTTGATAGGTTTTCTAAGATGGCACATTTTATTCCTTGTCATAAATCTGATGATGCCAAACATGTAGCTGATTTATTTATGCGTGAAATTGTTAGATTGCATGGTTTACCTAGAACTATTGTGTCTGACAGAGATGTTAGATTTTTGAGCTACTTTTGGAAAACTTTGTGGGAAAAACTAGGTACAAAACTGTTGTTTTCAACAACTGCTCATCCTCAAACAGATGGCCAGACGGAGGTAGTTAATCGGACTCTTGGTTCATTGCTTCGTGTTTTGATCCAAAAGAATCGTAAGAATTGGGAAGCTTGTTTGCCTATTGTTGAATTTGCATATAATCGTGTTGTGCATTCTACTACCCAATATTTTCCGTTTGAAATTGTTTATGGATTTAACCCCTTAACCCCTTTAGACCTGTCTCCATTGCCTGTTTCTGAGTATCTTAATGCAGATGGAGCCAAGAAAGCTGAGTATGTACATTCTCTTCATGAGAAAGTACACATGAATATTGTGAAGAAAAATGAGCATGTTGCGCGAATTGCCAACAAGGGGCGTAAGGAAATGATATTCGAACCTGGTGATTGGGTTTGGGTTCATTTAAGGAAGATTTGATTTCCTACAAAGGTTAAATCGAAGTTAGATCCTCGTGGAGCTGGTCCTTTCCAAGTTGTCAAGCGTTTGAACAACAATGCTTATCAACTTGACCTTCCTGGTGAGTATAATGTTAGTGCGACTTTTAATATTTCTGATTTATCTCCGTTTGATTTCTCAGATGATGAAGCTGTACAAGTTTTGGATTCGAGGTCGAATTCTTTCAAGGAAGGAGGGAATGATGTGAACATCCATGGTAATCAAGTCCAAGATGATCAAGATGTTCGGGTTCCAAGTATTGTCCAAACTCAAGGAGTGACTCAAGATCCATTATCCAACATTGGAGGCCCAATATCTCAAGTTAGAAGTAAAAGGATGAAGAATGCACTTAATAATCTTATATCCAATAGTTTAGCCCAAGAGACTGTCAAGTCTGGAAGTTACAAGCCCAAGATGATTAATGTGTTACGAGGCCCATTTGAGGAAGGAAATTTCGGCCCAGAAACCAAGCAAGGGAGGCCAGCCCTATCTCCTAATTTTTAGGAGTTGGAATCTCTATCTTTTAGGGATAAAATCATTTAAATCTTATCACACTTGTGGAAGGATGAGATTTGGAAGATTCCCTATCTTTTAGAGATAAGATCATTTACATCTTATCACATGGAAGGATAAGATTCGATATGATTCTCTTTTATCTAATTTAGAGTTTATTCAAAATAAGAAGTCTATTCCTTGGTGTCTACTCTCAACCGTTGGATGGAGATTAGATCAAGATTGGATGGCTATGATTACTCTACAAAGAAGATATTGATAGAGTTGACAACTCAGGAAGACTCT